AAAAAAAAAAATTATATTGATTCGATCATTTTTAAAAAAGTTATGGCAATTTTAAGTAAAAAAAATTGAAAAAATATCGAAAATTAGCGATTTTTAAATTTGTAATTTTTTGGGGGATTTCCCCCATTTACGGGGAACGAGGGAATTTTTTTCAATTTTTGAGGGTAATGTCTTCGACTAGATACGATTTGTGATCTTTTGACATATTGTTCATCAAAATCGGTCCAGCGAGACCTGAGATTGAGCGTTCACAGACAAAAAAAAAAAAAAAAAAAAACACATCATAGTAAAATTAATACCTCCTCACCTTCGCATAGAAGCTGAAATAAATTGTCCATATAGTAATATACTAATATTTTACTGTATGGACGACACTGCAGGTTGTCCAAATACTGTTTGTATATACAAGGCACCCGCATTCACCGAGGGAAACAACTATGATCTTTGTACACAACAAATGTATTATAACTATTTTACTATTTAAAATTTTGTATTTTTAAAATGTATAATTATGAATATACAATAAATTTTCTTTTTTTAATTAATTTTAGTAGGGGATGCGATCGTCCCGTCGTCTAAGTCACGAGCCGCAAATGACTAAANAAATAAAAAAAAAATAAAAAAAAAAAATAAAAAAACACATCATAGTAAAATTAATACCTTCTCAGCTTCGCATCGAAGCTAAAAATCATGAATTCTTATTAGGCATTTATCATAATTAAAGCTCTTTATATCAAATTATTTTATTACAAATGACATAATTTTTCAAAGTGTGCAAGCAAGTAATAATAATAAATTTATATAATAAATAATCTTTGAAAGCAATTTATTCTTTAAAATTAATAATTAACGACATATTCACTTTGCAAAACCTTTTGAAATAATGATTATCAATAATTTAAGTTTATCATTAAATACAGGTAAGTCAACTTATTGCTGTAAACTTTAAAAATATTGTTTGCAACGTTATCATATTTGTTTATTTTAAGTAAAAATAATATATACATAAAAATTTTAGAAGAAAAATAATTTAATCCAAAAATAGTAAAAATAATTTGGCGTAATCAGCCTTTTTTCGATTGTTTAAATCGTTCGTCTATCCAAAAGAGTTCTTCATACTGTTCATCTGGCATATCTTCTAGTGGTTTCTCTTGGCCATACTTATAATGAGTTCCATCCCCCCGTTTGGTAGCCCTGTTTTTCACCATAGTTGACGTGGCACATTTTTTGTCCCAAATCCAACCTTGGTCAGCACAATAGTCAATCACACTAGTAGTCAAATTAAAATACTGCCCAAATTCAGCTGCTCGATAATCCCATGGAAAAGTATGGTGATAGTTATGCCATCCTTCACCCAAACCAAACATAGATACGTAGACGTTTTCCACTGGATAAATTTCTCTAATATAATGTAATAAATGTGATATAATATGATATAATGTATCAACATCATAATTAAATACTATAAATATATTAGAAATGAATAGAATAATTAGATGGGTTTTGTGGTTTAGTAAAATGTTAACATTTTTACGTTATTTAATAATTATATTGTATAAAAATTTTTTTGTTTTATTTATATTAATATAAATATTTTATCAATTCCTAAAAAATTACAATTTTTAATTTTATCCCTTCTCGCAAACAGTCTAATTAATTTTAGAGTTGTATATAAATTATTTTCTCATGTATTCGCGTTTAATAAAATAATGTACCTATAGAAATATTATTTTATTTTAAGACATTATATATTAATGTTTAGTATGTATTTAATTTAATATACAGAAACGATACCACAGGCACAACTAGTATAAAATTTTTGGGGGTTCTGAATTAAATTTTTCCCGTCCTAAAAATATTATTAAATAACAATATTAATAATTTTTCAAGAGATACTTCTTCGATTAGGGAACTAAAACGTTTATAGTTGTATCCATAAACCANTTAATTAACAATATTAATAATTTTTCAAGAGATACTTCTTCGATTAGGGAACTAAAACGTTTATACAGAGTGATCCATTTAACATTGACCAGCAAATATCTTATCTTATCTAATATGTGTCTTTACGAGCCATCATAACCGCTACAATTAACTACCTGTATTACAAGTCTACCCGTTTTATACATATATATAGGTAAAAAAAATCAAAACTTTAAAGTGAAATAACATGTAAACTAATCGACTTAAATGAAAAATTCAAACGCTAAAAATTATAAAAAAAAAAACTCATAACTAGATATCAATATATCTAACTAAAAATATATGTTTCCATTTGAAAAAAAAAAGTTGGTACCCTTTTAAGGCATAAGGGATGAACCTAAAAATTATCTGATCATGGATAAATGTAGAGTTTTATGTAACTAAAATAATTAAAAAAAAAAATTATTAAAATAATAAATAGTTTTTGAGATATTTGCTGGTCAATGTTAAATGGATCACCCAGTAGTTGTATCCATAAACTANTCAAGAGATACTTCTTCGATTAGGGAACTAAAACGTTTATAGTTGTATCCATAAACCATAAGTATAACAAGCATTATAAGCGAACAAAAGCTTATCACTTTTAAGGGCAGTTTTTTAACGCGCACACTGAAAAAATATTTGTAAATTGATATTTTATATCCACAGGTGTAAAATAATTTTATTTTATATATAAACTTACTGTGAAAATGGTTTATTCCCATAAAGGTGTGCTGCACTATTTACCAACCAAGTCAGATTGAGAACTAATATAAGCCGAAATAGAAAACAAACAAAGAATCCATTCCACGGCGTCTCTCCCCACAAAGTAGGAATCATCATAGGTGCAATGATCGTCAGGATAGTAAATAGTAAGTTGTAATGCCTAAGAATATATCATAATGATTAATATTTTTAATCGAGTATGAACATTTTTTTTGAGAATTTGAGCAATAAAATAGTGACAAAGGTATAATATTATAAAAGATAGTTCTCATAAATATATCATTTTATTAATTTTGATGCCTATTTTTTATACATTTCATTAAAAAACCCAGGATGAAGGCCGGAATCATTCTTGTTCATGACAAAAATAATTAATAATTAATTTGAAAAAGATAATCAACATTTTTCGTATGTTCGCCGCCGCACTCCCACAGTGAAAAACTACAATTACACTTATTTGTATTTGTGTATTTTATTTATTTATACAGGAACTTAAAAAAAAACTTGTAATGATAAATAATTATTTATTAAGAATTGTTTAACGTGGTTTGTTATCCAATGTTTGTTTATTACTTGATCCAATACTAATTTTTTCATGCAATTTTGGGTTAACTAAATTAATATATGTAAAGGATTCAAAAATATTTCTTTTAAATTTTAGCCACAACGGAACCGAGCTGGTTCAAGGGGGGCAATCAATTCATACATGACAACTATAATATATATTAAATATGAATTAATTGAGAAAAATTACTTAAAAATCCATTTTCTACAAACTCACAGTCTCAATATATAAATGCGCAAAAAGGAGTTAATATCCGTATTTAAAATATGCGCGTGGACTTATAAAAAAAAGCTTGTAAAACGGTGAAAAATGAACGGATTGAATTAATATTTTTATGATATCTCAGAAATGTCTTTAACCGAATCTGGTTAAAATTTCAAACCTTAAGTCACAAAACTCTGGCGTCATTGAGCATTTTTCTTGAAAACGGTCGAAAGATTAAAACGCACGTGGGTGAGCGGCGAAAATTTTGCGACCTTCGCGAATCCTTTTTTCAATGTTTCATAACAGAGTATTTTCGTTGAAAAATAAAATTTTAAAAATTCGAGCACGCTAAGTAACTTTCCTAGATAAGCGTTTTTTCCTTGTTCTATTATATAATAAGATTTCCTAAAGCACCTATCAGGTAGCTTTATGAAGTGTCAGTACCAAATATTAAGAAAATTATATTTATCGTTTTATAAAAAATTTTACAGAAATGCAAAAAAAAAATATTTAAACTGTTTTATCGTAGCACAATGTGTACATCGGGAATTACAAACCAATAATAAGTGATTCAGTAATTATCTGAAAAAGTACTGTTTTTTTTTACTATTTTATGATTTGAAACTATTAAATTATTTCATAATTAATATTAACAATTTAAGGTATTGGTTATATCAGAAGAAAAGGTAATTTACTATTAATAAACTGAGTTTTTATAAATTGTTAGATGGTTGAGTTATCTTTATTTTTAATTAAAATAAAATTCATCGAAAGATTAATTTAGATTCCTTATTCTTTAATATCCTTCAATGTTCCTCATACTTTTGTAAATTAAGTAAATTTTAATATATATAAAAAAAAATAATTATTATTTTTATTCACACATATATATTATGAACTCACTTTTTTTGAAACATTACTAAAGCATCAGCCTCGATATCGGACATGTCAATTTCTTTCCCTTTGGCGATGAGATCTGGATGCTTTTTAACCATAAGCCAGCCAATATGAGAAAAAAAGAATCCACGGGCTGCGTTATGTGGATCGGCATTAGTGTCACTATATTTATGATGCATTCGGTGATCTCGGACCCAAATATATAAACAGTTCTAGAAATATAAATAAATAAAAAATTTATCGATTTTTTAGAGTATATCTTACCTGTCCTGCAACTGTTTGTCCAAAAACTAAACAGAAACGTATCCACCAATTGGCTTTAAAAGTTTTATGAGTATATAGTCTGTGAGCGCCCATCGTCACAGCAAGAGCGCTTGATATCGATAAAAATATTGCTAAAAAATTAAAAAATTATAAATAATATACTAGTATAATTTTCAACGAACATACGTGTAACAAGAAATTTGAATGTATGGGGCTAAAATCCTACCATTTTTGAAACCTACTTAATGTGCGAAAAAGTCTTAAGCAGTTGCGTCATTTTAGATTTCTTAGAATAGGGAAAACTTTAGACCGACCCATCATCATAAAAAGCCATATGTCTATTGTACTTAGTATAGACATTACCATAATATAATAATCATTTATAATAAACATTCTTTTTCGCTTTTTACGGTTCATTGAGAGTGATTTTGGCCTCCTCTAAAAGGAAGTTTCTTAACCAAGCATACTCCGGAATGGGTGGTTAGTTCATCGCCAAAGAGAGGGATGGCAACTCCAATCATTAAACTGATGTTTCGTTTAGCAAATGGAGCCGCCGGTGGCCGAGTCTCGTACCCGATACAGTGCGCATCAGAAACTGCCATGTTCCCGACTCAATTACACCGTCCCTGATATAGTATTTATAATATATTAATATATAGTGTTCAGTAAGTAAGGAAATAGGTTTCTATTGTTCTTATTGTTTGTTACAACAAGCCTGTTTACTTACTTACTGAATACCCAATGCATAATAATTATATATTGCTAAATCATGTATATAATGTAATTAATTTCTTTTACAATTATTGTAAAAGTAATTTCAGTAAAAAACTCTATTAAATGTGGCTGTAAGGACTAAAACCAAAGACAACGATTATCAAAATTTTTACTTTAAACGTACTTTGTAAGTTTTTGAACTTACACATAATTAATTTTAGAATATAATGTTAGTAACTACGGTTTCAAATTTTTATTTGTAACAGTACAAATAAAATTATCAAATAACTTTCTCTATTATTTTAGGGCTAGGCCTGTTTGAAAAATAATGTTTTGTAAAGTAAGAATCTTTGTTGTATTTGATATAATGACAAGAAAGAACTTGTTAAATCGGTTTTCTTTTGTATTTCAAATACAAAACTTCCATTCATCAAAATATTTTATTTAACGAAACATTTTTGAGAACCATGATCTTCATACTTAATCATGCATTAATTTATCTCTGTATAAAAAATCTGATGTTTCTGTATAACGATAAACTAATCAATAATAATTCTGTTTTTGTATATGTTGTCACTATCAAATATGAATTTTTGTTCTAAAATACCTATAGATTTATTGTATCCGAAGAAATAAGTATTGGTAGGAAAGTCGGTAAATTTACTGCAGTTCTGCAGTTTTAATATTGACGTAATTTATTCTATACGTATGGGATTTAATATTGAAATAATTGAAACTGATGTAAAACTTCCAAATTTATAACGACAATGTGAGTTATTTCACTATTATGGCGTTACTTTACAAGATTATTTGAATATAGATGAAAATATTACTATTTATAAGAAATTAACTCACCAACATTAGTGTTGTGGAAGAAGTTAAAAAAAAAGAAAATTCTAGTCAATTAGAAGACGACGACGAAGAGAACTCTACCCAAATTTACAGAAAAAGAGATACAAAATACTTTTTCAATATCGAAAAATGGTTTTAGACAACAAGGAAATATTCCCGAGAACATTTTTTTCAAAACAATATGAATTTGAAACTTTTTACAAAAAAATTAAAATTTATAAAAATAATAAGCAAACAAAACTCACTGATTATAAATGAAATACTTAAAGTATAATAATACGTATAATTTGTATGTTTTTTATTAATATAATACAAAATTTAAATGTAGTGCAATTAAATTTTTTTTTTTTAAATCTGTATTTCTATTTAATGAATTTTTTTATATCACGAATTTTTTTTGTATCCCATGACATTTCGTTTTATAAAAGTTTTACTGCAATTAAATATGAAATATTAAGTGTTTTTTTAATTAAATAAAGTCATTTTTACTTTATTTCTTTGATAATTATATATTGACTTTTAACGAGGAAATAGCATACTCTTGCTCAAAGTATGAGCAAAAGTAAAAATTTACCGGTCCCAGCTTTCATTAAAAATTTGATTGAGGCAAACGCCCAAGTTGCTATTCTTTATATGACAACCCCATTCTTATGTATGTCATGTTGAGCAAAAAAAGAACATTATTTGTTTTTTTTCACAAATGAGAAACCTGCCTTGAATTCAAGAATTTGTATTTTAGCTTCGATGCCAAACTGAGAGGGTATTAAATTTACTAAGATGCGTTTATTTATTTTATTTTTTTTTGTGTCTGTTACCACTTTTTCTCAGCTCTCACCGAACCGATTTCTTTCAATGATACGTCAAAAGATCAAAAATCGTATCTAGTTGAAGACATTACCCTTAAAAATTGAAAAAAATTCCCTTGTTCTCCGTAAATGAGGGAATCCTCAAAAAAATTACAAATTTAAAAATCGCTAATTTTCGAATTTTTTTTACTTAAAACTGCCATAACTTTTTCAAAAATGAACAATCAATATAATTTTTTTTGATAGATGCTTGATGTCTTTACCTATCATTTGATATATTTTTTTTGTAAATTTAACCCTTTATCTGCCCACAGAGGGGGATTTAAAAAGACAACTTTTTCACAAAAAATTAACTTTTTCAACTTAACTTTTGAAAATGTTCAGGAAGGTCTAACACTTTTATATATATCTTAAATTAAAACTAATGTAATATACTCTTATTTGAAAAAAAAAAATTTGACCTCTGGGCTTGTCTTCATGGTGAAAATGGCTACCGAATGCTATATTTGTGTGAAAATTCTCGATTTTATAATTTACATTTTTTACTTTAAAGTGCTATAATTTTTTTAAAAAATGTATAGATCAATACAATTTTTTCATGAGAAGTAGTATTTATATACATCTTTCATTGGACATACTTTTTTTTTAAATCAGACCATTTCCATATATATGGGGGGCTTAAAATATAAAAAATTCATATACAAAGTAGAACTTTTTCAACTTAACTTTTGAAAGTGTTCCGGCAAGTCTGACACTTTTATATATATTTTAAATTAAAGCTAATGTAATATACTTTATTATGGTAAAAAAAAATTTCGGACTTTATTTTATCTTCACGGTGAAAATGGCTATTGAGCTATATGGGCTAAAACCCAACCGAATGCTATTATTGTGTGAAAATTCTCGATTTTATTTTTTACATTTTTACATTATAATGCTATAACTAATTGAAAAGTGTATGGATCAACATAATTTTTTTTTGAGAAATAATATTTTTTAATATTCCATTTTTCATTTTTCATACTTTATCTTAATCAGGATATTAATAAGGAACTAGCAGATCATGTAGCTTTTGGAATAATCCACTAATTTTTTAAAATTAAACATTATCTAAAGATTTGCATCGAAGCGTTTTTTTTGATAGTGATTTTAATCACTGTCAGATATCATTATACTTGATCCAACTATGCCGCGAGCCCCCTGTGCTGGGTTTTTTTCTTTATGTATACCTAAAAATAAGCCACCTAGACACGAATTGTTTTATACTACAACAAATTTATTTATTTATTTTAATTTACTATAGGTTTTCAAATATATTATAAACACAATATAAAATAACCATAATAAAATATGAAAGTAGCCAAATATAAAAATTACAAAGGTATAGAAATCATGACGTCAAGAAGAGAAAAATTTAAGCTTTCAGAATCGTTGCCCTCCTAAACTCCTACCTAGTTACGCCAATGGAAACGATACTCCTTTAATAGTATTTAAACATTTGACGTCGGTACAAATTTGATATTGTACCCGCGCACCATTCCATAGATATCTATATATTTTTCTTAAGGTATTCGCTTGGAGTAATAAAATATCCAAGTATTTTCTATGATTGCCAAATAATAGAATCGGCTAGGCGGACACTGAGAAAGATAATTTTTGTACATAAATACTTACTGTTTTATGCGGAATCATTTAAAACTCTTTTTAGAGGAATGATAAAATTTTTACAATTTAAAAAAAAAAAATTTAGAGACATGCTTCGCAAATATTGGCTTTATAAAATATTGATAGTGCTAGTTCAAAGAGGCGTGATTCCCTCTGTGTATAATCTCCGTATTTGTTATTAAGTATAATGAAGTTGTAAATTAAAAAAACTGCGCATTAGTAAGATAATTAAAATTATCACATAAGGTATGTTTTTTTTTATTACTTACTCCACGCCATAGTAAGGAATTTGATTGACGTCAGGTACACGTAAAAGCCATATAACGCGCCTAAATGAAGAATAAGAAATCCTATGGCATTGAACCACACGATTTTACGTTTATAAATCTGATTTTTAGAATTCGACTTGAGATCCAATTGGTGATCTCTTTGATCATTTATGTTCATTTCATCAACAATCATTTTTGCACTTCTACACGTTTTAGGAAAATTTATAGTTAACGTCAAACCTAACAACAAACTTTGAGTGTCTTCGTCGAAAATTTTCAAAGAATCAAATGGTTATCTACTATACCTATACTGAAATATATTTTTTAAATTTTATTCCCGCTATTTAGATTTGTTTTATGGTAATTAATACATATCAAGTAGTGTAATTCATGTGTTATATTCGTGTACGTCGCTATGTGTTATGTTGATTTTTACAAGTACTTAAGTCTTGTAAATTTAAATAATGCGTTAGAAAACATATAGTTTTGAGTTTCCATTTTAATTATTACTTTTTTTTTTATGAATTACAAGCTACTAAACATAACATTAAGTTGCATTATTTAAAACTAAAATTAAAGTACTTCCAATAATTTTCAGTAGATAAAAGTTTGTATTACTTAATATTTGAGAATGAACAATTTTAATTTAGATTTTATAATAGCTGTAATTATCAAAAAGCAAACGGTTTCATTAATTTTTATCTTCGCATCGCCGAGAAGGTATTAATTTTACATATATGTATTTTTGTAAGTCTATCATTGATTGCACTCAGTTTCTATTAGCAGAGCCTTAGTAAACTTAATGAGCGTTCCTGGTCATTTATAACATTCTCAACTAATTCTTTACTTTTAAGAAAACAAAATTAAATTTCATTTTATCATTAAATGAATGAAAAAATGTTTTCTTAAAAAAGATATAACTTCCAATATCATTATAGTGCATATCTGGAGATAGTGTTTAATTTAAAAAACCTAACACAGTAGGGACGTGGCATAGTTGGGTCCAGTATAGATTTCATCTAACAATGATTAAAATCACTATCATAAGAAATGCTTCGATGAAAATCTGTAGATAGTGTTTAATTCTAAGAAATTGGTGGATAATTACAAAAGCAACATTAACTTCTATTAGCCATTTTCACCACGAAGACAAGTCAATTTTTTTTTTCATAATAAAGTATATTACATTAGCTTTAATTTAAGTTGAAAAAGTTAACTTTTTGTGAAAAAGTTATCATTTTAAATCCCCCCCTGAGGGCAGATAAAGGTCAAATTTATAAAAAAAATATACCAAATGATAAGTAAAGACATCAAGCATCTATATAAAAAAAAAATTACTTATCCATACATTTTCCAAAAAGTTATAGCATTATTAAGTTAAAAATATAAAAAAAAATTATTTTACAAAAATCGTAATTTTTTATTAACTTTGATGTCTATTTTCACCGTGAAGACAAGTCCAGAGGTCAAATTTTTTTTTTCAAATTAAAGTATATTACATAAGCTTCAATTTAAGATATATATAAAAGTGTCAGACCTTCCGGAACACTTTCAAAAGTTAAGTTGAAAAAGTTCTACTTTCTATATGCATTTTTTATATTTGAAGCCCCCCCATATATAGGGAAATAGTCTGATTTAAAAAAAAAGTATATCCAATGAAAGATGTATATAAATACTACTTCTCATGAAAAAATTGTATTGATCCATACATTTTTTAAAAAGTTATAGCACTTTAAAGTAAAAAATGTAAATTATAAAATCGAGAATTTTCACACAAAAATAGCATTCGGTAGCCATTTTCACCATGAAGACAAGTCCAGAGGTCAAATTTTTTTTTTTCAAATTAAAGTATATTACATTAGCTTTAATTTAAGATATATATAAAAGTGTCAGACCTTCCGGAACATTTTCAAAAGTTAAGTTGAAAAAGTTAATTTTTTGTGAAAAAGTTGTCTTTTTAAATCCCCCCCTGTGGGCAGATAAAGGGTCAAATTTACAAAAAAAATATATCAAATGATAGGTAATGATATCAAGCATCTATAAAAAAAAATTATGTTGATTTGTTGATTTTTGAAAAAGTTATGGAAGTTATAAGAAAAAAATGACAAAATATACCGATTTTTAAATTTGTAATTTTTTTGGATATTTCCCCCATTTGTGGGGAACGAGGGAAAATTTTTCAATTTTTAAGGGTAATGTCTTCAACTACATACGATTTGTGATCTTTTGACGTATTTTTGAAAGAAATCGGTTCAGTGAGAGCTGAAAAAAAATGGCAACATACATAAAAAAAAAAAAAAAAAAAACAAACAAATAATAGTAAAATTAATTTCTTCNGGCAAAAAAAAAAAAAAAAAAAAAAAAAAAAACAAACAAATAATAGTAAAATTAATTTCTTCTCAGTTTCGCATCGAAGCTCAAAATGGTATTATTAAGAATGATTTTAAAAATCATAATTTTTTGGAGGATTTCTACCGTTTACGGAATGAATGAAAATTTTTCAATTTTAGAGGGTAATGTATTTAACTAGATACGATTTGTGATAATTTGACGTATCGTTGAGAAAGATCGGTCTAGCGAGAGCTGAGAAAAAATAGTGAAAAACACAAAAAAAATAAATAAATAAAATAAACGCAGCAGGTAAAATGAATACCTGCTCAGCTTCACACCGAAACCAAAATTGATTATTTGTAAAAATCCATTATAAAATAATGTAACCAATAATCATTAACAGTAACATGTTACCAAATAATTTTATAGATTGGTAGTACACCATAATCAAGAAATTAATAAAAAATAAAGTAAAATTATTTAATTTAATTTTATAGTTGGCACCTATTATCATATCATACTTAATTCTATAATATATACTTAAAAAATATTAGATAATAATGATTTTTATTGTATATATGTAGAATGTGAGCTAAGTAACTTTTTATTTGATAAAGTTGAAATTTTTTTAATTTTTTTAGGGTAATATTTTAAACTAGATACGTATTGTAATCATTTGACGTATCATTGAAAAAAAATAGTAAAGTGAGATCTGAGAAAATAAATGACAGCCCTTAAAAAAACCACCTAACAAAATAATTTTAATATGAATAAGAAAATTCTTACTACGGGAGAATACAATGATGGAGTCCTTGATATTCATTATTGAATTAAGTTATGGAATCTAAATGAGATGAACATTTTTTCCAACTCAAAAAGAATTAAGAAAAAAATGCAAAATAAATTCTTTGCCACAACCGGGTTGAAACCTCATACCCCAAGCATGATACAGGTGTTACCGATTCGGCAACCGTACGACGCATTCGTCGATCGAAAAAAATAGTAATTTAAGCTAATTTAAATTTCAAAGTTATTTTTCTCGACTTAAAAGAAGCAAAAAATTTAAACAAGTGTAACTTTATATGCTATGTCAATGAAATTTATATAATATTTATGAAAATCAGTGTACTCCCCTTGTCAGGTATTTTAAAAAGTTTCCATTTAAAACCCCATGTGTGGGCAGGTAAAGGGTTAAATGTTCATAAAAATATATCATATGATAGGTAAGTACCTAAGGCTTCAATATAAAATAAAAAATTATATTGATTTGTTTATTTTTAAAAAAACTTATGGCAGTTTTAAGAAAAAAAATGTCTAATATTACCGATTTCTAAAATTATAATTTTTTGGAGGATTCCCCATTTTACGGTGAACGAAAGAAAGTTTTTCGATTTTTGAGGGTTATGTCTTCGACTAGATACGATTTGTGATATATTGATCTATTGTTCATCAAAATTAGTCCAGCGCGAGCTATGTCTTCTAAGTAAAAATGTGGAAAAATGTCATAACATGGATTATAGTTTTGATTATTGAACTAAAGATTTTTCAATTTAAAATGAACACTTTTTTGCTGATTAAATAGTTAAATTTATTCAGTTTTTTCTATTATTTTATATAACCAACTAAATTTAATTTATAGAAAAAAATTGTTGCATATTTTCAATTAATAATACATTTTCTAATTCAGAACGGTCCTGAATTTTATTTTCCCGATTAGTATGATTTGGAAGTATATTTTGCTAATAATTATTTTCCTTATCAATGTCTATTAATGTGAATACAGTTTCCAAAATAAATCTCAACAAATATTTTCATTACTAATACTGTTCTTAAAAATACTGTTTTCAGGGATATTTTCCTGATAAATATTTTCCAAAATAATACGGTTTTAAAAAAATCATTCATATCATTTAAGATTACTTTTAAATAACCATCTTTAAAAAAAAATTCCTATTAGATATTGTTCCATGATAAACTATTCCGTATAATTTCATTCCTGATAAGTATTTTCCTAATTTGTATAGCACTCATAAAAATTTTAATTTATAAATATCACACATTTAATAAAAAANATATATATATATATATATGTTAGGTACTACAATTTATATTTTACATAGAAAAGAAATAAATTCTAATACAATTTTACTAAATAAAAATTTTTTTGTGTGTTGAATTGTGAACCATGTTAATCAAGTTATTTTATTCTATTTGTTATACTTTGTGGATTTTAACTTCAAAATGCTTTACAAGTTGTAAAATAAGACCAAAAATATATGAAAAATATTTGTCAGAAGTAATGGATCATATAAGTAAACAAGTTGGATGGGATTTTATGCAGCATTTGGAAGTTAAGTACGACTCTTCTACAGAGATAAGTTTTAATATTAAAGATGTTATTTGTAAAGGGAGTAGTATAACACTACCAAAAAAATTCGATGCTATAATTCATACATTGAATTATTTGTACGCAGAGGTCATCAAAACATTTATTGATCATATTCACACTATAACTAACCGATGTCAAGAATATTATGACTGTAACCAGGGAGATAATTTATTACGTTGTACATTTTTACTTCAGAGTGTTATAGAAAATTCGAAAATGATGTTTGAACAGTTATACAAAGTAATGGACTATTTTAGCAACATAGATTTTAAATTATTAGCGAAATGGAAAAAAACATTTTCAGTGCCTATAGTAGATGAAATTTATACTTTTGTAGAATATGCAACATTAAAAAGTCAACAAAATACACTGATTTATATCGATCTAAACGATCCAAACACAAAAAAAGAAGCTCATGAGATTATTTTAGGTGTTAAAAGTTTTGTTGAAGGAAAAGGTCAAGAGATCTACCAAAATATTAAGAAAAAAAATAATTCAGTTGTTCACAATCGTAATCCTAAGTGCTTTCTTGAAGAGAATTTACAACACTATAAAACACAACAAAATAAAAACATTGATTTGAGTCATTATTTAAGTGAATGGCTTAAAATATATTACAATGAAATTTCTACACATTTATACGAAAATCTTGGCTTTGAACAAGTCTTAGAATTAAATGAGGAAAGGTAAGAAAATCTATTTGAAAACATTGTAGAGTAATAGGGAAAACTTACAAATTAGCATACTCATGTCAAAATAGAACCAAGTCTATTTTTAAGTATCTTATTAGTGTTATTAGGTGCACTAACTAGACGAAAAAATCATATTTTCTGAGTTTCCCAATAATTGTGGCTATTTAAAACTATCAACTGTATAATGACTTTTATGTACTCAAAGTATAATTTTATCAATAATTTTAGAAATAATGAGTATCTATTTATATCACGAAATATTTAATTAATGAAAAAGTTTACAAAACCGATATTAACATTATTCACTTTGCCTATGGTGGTATTCGTTTTCCTAAATTTCCCTTATTTATTTATGATAAACAAAAAAAAAAAATGTTCTTGAAAATGTTTATAGTCTACAAAATAGTGTTATAGAAATAGTTATGAATTTTAGTCAGCATTTTATTTAATTCATTCCCCATTATATAACAAACGAAGTAGTAATAGTTTCCTATTAAATTTTCAAAATTTACCCATAAATCTAACCTTAGGAATAACTTTTTCTTATAATAAACTTGATATTTACAATGGTTTAAAAATATGAACTAAATTTTAATCTATACATTTGATGAAAAAATCATTATTCAACGAAAAAATGAAGAAATATACTTAATAAATCACACTATATTTTTATTTGTAGTATCACACCTCCAATTCATTTATACGAAAATATTAGTCAAAAGCAGGGAATCAAACTAATAAACGAAATTACTAAAGGAAGTGGATGGAAATCATTGAAAAATATTAATATTGTATATAATGATCAAGTTATAAGCGTAGACCGTATTCATAGACACCCAGCAGATAAACTAAATTATCATTGTAAAAAACAACATATATTAAGATTGGTCAAGTGTATTTATACAGAAATACTGTTTAAGTATTGCAATTATGTAATTTTCGTATTAGATTTTTGCGAAACCAAAAATGTAAATATTTATGGGGTAATATATACAGATTTAGTGCGACAAATTTTTGATACAGTTCATAAGACAACTACAATGTTTGATATAATGTATAAAACATTGGTTTCTTTAAATAAACGAATAGGAGAATACTTTCATGACAACGGCAATTCAAATTTAAAATCTTTGTGTAGTTCAATAACAATATTACTTGAGGAAATAAATTCTGGAAATTATTCACTGGATATTTTGGATAGTAAAAATTATATCAGTAAAAAGGAAATAATGATATATTGCGCAAGAACTTACGTACAAAATTTCGCAGAATTTCTAAAATATAACAAAATGAAAAACCGTTCATTAAAGAAAACTATTGAAAAGCAGTGTCCATTACGAAATTTAGTGTTAAATATTGACATACCTGAGTCAATTAATACCAACAATTTTTCATCTGTTTGTAACGAACTTGTTGAATTTTCTAAAAAATTTATAAAAGTTTACTATGAAGAGTTGGGTTTAAATAAATTAAATTAATTTATTTATCAATTTTTTTTACAACCATCTCAACCATATGCAATGTGCTATAATCTTCATTTGTATGATCTACAAACCACTTATAATATTTTAAATGTATTTTTAATATTAAATAATCAGTTTAGCAATAAGATAGTAAACATTTAATTATTAAAATGAGTATAATTCAAAATGGGTCAATAGTAAAATGTAATAGGTAAACGGTTGACATTTGGTGTTGAGGTCATCTTAATAATATAATAATATATCAATTTTAAGACCATCTTTGGTATTAACAATATTAATAACATTGTGTTATTGGCTATAATGTGTTACCATAATATAATAATTAAAGTAAAACTAATTTAATTGTTTTTTTAATATATTTGTTAATACCCTTTTTTCTCTCGACCGGCATTAATGTGGACCGCTTTGGAACTGCCGTTAGGCTTTACTTCAGGGTGGCCCACGCCGTCTTTATAATTCACACCACCACGTTGTGAATAAGATAGAAATTAATCAAGAGCTGATTCACAACGTGGTGTGGTCTCTCCCGTTAAAATGCGAAAAGCAGGGTTGGCAAAACACACGAAATCCTAAGGCGTCGGTCTAAACCAACACCTTATGTCCTCTTGAACGGGGCGGCATGGCTGCCTCTGTTTTAGACGTTCCGCTTCCTCCTTCTTTTTCAAGACGGATTCGGCGATCGCCTAGACGAGCCTCCACGCCTTCCAGCTCCCAAAATCAGGTTCACCATGGATCCGACTCGGAACACGGACCCAATTTGGGACTCCAAAGAATCCCACTCCTGGGCTCACGCCTCACACCGGAAGAGGATGTGCAGAGTACTGTCTGCTTCTCCCATGCGATCCGAAAAGTGGTCGCACGTCGGCGCGGCTGCCCTTCGAATACCGTGAAGGTATTTGTTGAAGCAGCCGTGGCCGGACATCACTTGCGTGAAACTGTATGACATCTCACAGTGTATCCGTTCCACCTACCTGTCCAACCAATAGGGTTTTATAAAGGACCTTTTCCACTGGTCTTTCGTCGTTTCCTCCGACAGGCGAGTCCGCTACCGGAGCATGGTCATCCTTTTGAGCGCTAGCCGGTCCTCGGGTTCGAGGGGCCGGCCACCATCTCGGTAGAGCTCATGCCCAACGGCGCGTTCCTCGGTAAACAGATGGCAGTGACGACAGGATATTTGTTAATACCGGTGGGGGGGGGACAATATCGCACTTTCCCGGTGATGAATAAGGAAGAATTTGAATGAACTCAAATGAATAATAAAGGAAGACTGTAGTCATTGGCTCACATAAAAATGTATTATTAATTCAATTATAATAATAAATAAAAAAATATAAAATGTCAAAAAATTGCAATAAATATAAATCATAATCAATAAATGTGATTATTAATAATTACAAAGATAGTTTAAAATCAATAATCAGTTGCAAATCAACATAATACACCCTAAAATTATACATGTAATTTTTGAGTTAAAAATTACTATTGTCATCCGTGTGACTGAAACAATTTAATTAAACCGACTGAGTGATATATAAAACAAAACAAAAAAACAATATTATTGTCTGCAGGTTTTAAATAACAAATAATTTTTAGTATCATTAACAATTTACAATGTAACAATTTGTAATTTATATAAAAATTTTACTTTTTCATAGAACATCAACAAAAAACATCATTTATAAACTTAACCTATTTTTGTCAATAGTACATTTTACACTAAATAAAGTTGACGAGCTGGCCACGTGATAAGCGGCGGCGATATGGTTCAAAATGTTCAAAATAACCCGACGGCCAAAAAAATATTATCGTATATAAAAAAATTCTATTTTTGTTTGTTTATTTTAAAATACCTTATAAGACTTTGCCATAGTAATAAGTCTACCAATTAATATAAAATTAACGTGAATCTAACTTACATTAAATATAAATTTATACTTATTTTGCCTCTTCTAAGTTAAGAAAAGTATTTTTGAATTTTTATATGAAAAGTAGAACTTTTTCAGCTTAACTGTTGAAAATGTTCCAGAAATACTGTGTCTTTAAAATATATTTTAAATTAAAGCTTATTTTATGTACTAGATGTTAAAAAAAAATTTGTGCTGACGACCCATTTTCTATGCGCAAATGGTAGTCAAAGTAGAACAAAAAATAAGAGTTCATTTTGCTTTTTCAATAATCCATCAATTTTTTAAAATTAAACACTATCAACAGATATGCATCAAAACGTTTTTTATAATAGTGATTTTAATCACTGTCAGATATCATCTATACTTGTCCCAACTATGCCACGTCGATACTGTGTCTCGACCCCACTGTGCTACCATTTTTTTTTTTAATAAATGGGTCATAACAAATTTTTTTATAAACACTTAAGGTATATTTTTTTTATTTTGGATATTTGTTTTTTAAAATCTGACTGTTTATTTGACCACAGGAAGCTACAAAATAATTTGGATTTTTTGATATATTGTTCATTAAAATCGGTCTGATGAGAGATGAACATTGTCATAGATAAACATAAAAAAACCCATCATTAAAATCTAATACTTCTCAGGTTTGCCTTAAAGTTAAAATGCTGAAATTTATCGATTTTAAAATCGTATTTTTTTAGATTTTTTAGTAATGAATACAAAAAAATAAAGATATGGTAAAATTTATACCTTCTTAGGTAAGATAAAAAGTTAAATATATATATTCAATCAACAGTAACGGTCTGGCTTATGTTTCAGAACTCAGTATATAATTTACTGTTTTCTTCATTATTTAAAAATATTCAGAAGGCCTTTGGATATTGTCGATCAGCAGAGTAGGCCAAACCGACACTGTCTATCATCCGTAGTATTTCTGGCAAATCCCTCTACCCTTGTGCTATTGTTAATTGTTTTAATTTTTTCTACAAACAATTCTTAGAAGGGCTTCTTCATTAAGTCTAACTTGAGGTAATAAAATTTTCTATGCAATAGAAATAATAAATAGATGACAAAATATTGGATACAGTATTTTATGACAATATTCATTTTCTATGAATTATTTTGTACGTAGTATATAGTTTTTTTTATAATGTTTATATATTTTACCATTTATTATTAGATTATTTATTTATTGTTAGCTTATACAATTTAGTTTTGCAGTTTGTATGAAAAAATTAATGCGTAGTTTAAGTGCCGTTAGATTTGTTAGATTGTTTTAATTAAGTGTAATTTTGGTACTGTATTTTATTTACAACACTTTTTAGTGTTGAAATTACCATACTACACGAATTTAAAAAACAATTGATACTTTTATTTTAAGTTACACAGTAATTAAATACATAATAATGGTTATAATCATTGAATGAGTACACTACACATTTATAAAGATTAAAGCAATTTTTAAGTTTTCATAATATACTTTAGTTAACATTAATTAAATTGAATTATAAGTTTATTATAATTTATATTAAAAGTTACTATTTTCGATCAAAATTGCTAAGTAGGATCTATTTTTAACTCATTATTAAAATTTTCATATATGAAAACGAAGTTATTTTATTAAGATATTTTTTTGTAGATATACTCACGAATAACAGTAAAATAATAATTATTTTAGTTATAATTAATTATATAATAAAAAGGGAATATTTCATACACAATAAAATAAAATCAGACCAAATTTTAACATTTTGTTTTTTAAAGTTAAATTATACTCATGAATAAAAATTCCCATCATGATAAATAAGTATTAGATTAATATGACCCAATCAAAATTATTCCGTCAATGGAGTAAGGTAACTACAAATTTATTTTTAAAGTTTTCATCCATAAATTGAATAAAGTATATGATAAGGAAAGAATACATTTACCTAAGCCTATATGTTATGATGCTATCTGTGGAGTTACAACTATTTATATGAAATATTATTTATACTAGAGTAAAACATTTAAAAAGTATAACAATTCTCTTGTTTAATATAAAAAATATATAACGGTTAATTTATCTATTTTTAAAATAAAATGCTGTATATTTTGTTCAATTAAAAAAACTTTATAGAATTTTTTTTGTCTTTTAAAATCAATTCTAAATTTTACATTTGATAAATAAACTGATAAAATAAAATAAATATTTTACACTCTGTAATTAAAAAAAAAACCTTTAAAAAATAGAAAATAAAAATGCTAATATGTTTTTTAAAATAAAACAATATAGTTTTAAACTGAAAATAAATACCCATTATGATATTGTATAAAATACAAAATTATACAAAAAATTAATATTTCTTATAAATTTTATTTTGACTTTACATAAAAAAACTTTAAATAAAAAATTATTTCAATCATATCAAATATGATAAAAATCTTGTAAGTAATTTTAAATAAAATAATCTAAATTAATAATTTTTGAATTTAGGTAGAGTTGCATCTTTAGCTAATTTTTGTGCTCCATCTATGTATGGTAATTCATCTATTATTTCTCCTAAGCTTAACTTCTAAAGTGAAAGAATGGATTAATGATTTGTAATTAGAAAAAGAAAATTTTTTTTTACCCATTTAATTGAGCGAAATTTTTTTATTTTACTATCTAAAATTGTTAACATTTCTTTGTTTTTAACTTGTGTCTTAGAATTTGTAATCCAACCATTTGCTTTCCAACGAATAATCCACGAATCAACACAACTGAATAAAAATTTTGAATTAGTATGAATGCAAAGTTTTTTGATGTCTAAAAAAAAAAAAAATTTTAATAACTAGAATAATTCTTGTAAAATTTAGCTAGTTATATAATCTGTATTTTTAAAGTCATTATTTTAAGTTGATAATATCATCCTATTGTATATTTTTTGTAAGCAGGGTGTAAAGTAGGACAAACAAATAGTATCTCTAAAAATGTTTAACAATGTGTCCCATTTAACAATATATTAAGACTCCTGGGACGCTAAATTTTAGAGACAAAATTACCAATGTGATACGATAAATGAAATTTTTTTTTTTTAAATTGGCTTTGTATAATAGTAGCTATTGATCAAAACATTAATTTTATATCAACTTATATAAATTGATAAACTAAAATTAATACTTAAAAATAATTTATCATATCAATAATAATAACTTGTAACGAAATATAGTTTTCATTAATTTGTTGTTAACTCAAATGATAACACTTTATAAAAAATTATCATTTGATTATTAAAAAACTAATGAATCAATTTTAAGTATTAAAACTTTTAAGAAAAAAAAACTGTATTTTTATTTTTTTAATTATCAAATCACTCTTTTATACACGTAATAAAAAAGTAATTAGAGAAATGAAAATTTTTTATTCTTTATCTAAGTATCTGACTAAATTATAAAATCATGATTTTTAAAATAATTATTTAAGGAGATGGTACTCTTTTACTAACCCAAATTTGCATCATTAAAGGAATAATAAAGCATTATTCCTTTAATGATGCAAATCTCATAGGTGTATTCCTTCCACCCCATAACGTTCATAGATATGTGGAACACTCAAAATAATATTATGAATAAAGTCCCACTCTAATAGTTTTTTAACATTAAGCACTGTTTATAAGCATAAATTTTTCCATCTTATATATTTTAATATATATTAAAAAAGTGAATTAAAAATATAATATAGAATTTGAAAATAAATCAAATAATCTAGTATTACACCAAAAACTTTAATATATTTTATAACAATTAATTAGTAAATTGAAATGTAATATAGAAATGTATATTTCAACAAAATTATGAATAATAAGAGTGGATTTCTCTCTCTTTTTTTTTTTTTATTAAATTAATATTTGTTTGTTTTATTGAAAGATGCCAATCTCAAAGTAGATTATTAAAATGTTAAAATTAAAGAAATTTAATAAATACTACAATTATAAAATTTCAAATTTACCAACGTTATATGCAGTATCAAGAGCTAAAATTGCAGCATATATTTTAGCATTATTAAGCGTTTGACTGCCCGGTATTTTAACTGACAAATTCCTAAGAAAAACATAAAATTATCAATCTAAGTAAAGTACAAATAGTAAAAATGTATAATATTAGTCATAGATTAAATTAGAATAAGCGGAATGGGTATATAGAATAGATTGCACTATTTATTCATATTTGATGGATAATTTTTCAAAATGTGTTATTTCTACAAATTTCAATGATATAGTATAAATTTTAAAAATTATAACATAAATTATGCATTTGAACCAGTGTAAAATAATAAAGATAACTAAAGCAAAAATTATTTAATGCAAAATTCGGAAAAAAATGATGAGTCGTCTTATTGCAATTTATTAAGTTATTCAAACTACATTCATTGTGGTATTAAAATAATTAATTTTAGATTATTTTTTAAGTTGAAAATGTTGAACACTTTTTATAAATCATTAAATTTTAAAAACAAACTTACAAATGATGGTCATTATTAAAAAACACACCAGCTCCTGCTGATGCTTTTTTGAATTCATTTATTGTGACAACACCATCAATGTAGATTAAAACATTTTCATCAAAATCGTAAAGAAACAGATCCTCTTAAAAGTAAAAGAGTATATTAGTTCAATAGCTGTAGCTTTTAATTAAAAATAATTCATTTTTCATTACTTTCCAAATTCATGTTCTCACTTTGATTGATTGAAATATTTTCTTGTCTACTGAAATATGTTTTGGGGTAAATTAATAATTAATTTTTCTCTTAATATCTATTTAATAAACTGTTACAATAATAATAATATTTGTAAGTGTTACAAGGATGCATTACTTTTAACTTATACAGTGGCAAATACAAAATAGTTGAGGGTTTTAACTCCATTCAAAAAAATTCTTATTAATTTATCAACTAGATTTCTTCAAAGTAAAACATACTTAATTTAAATACATATAAATTCTTGTAATAAAAAAAACCCAGCACAGTGGGGACGTGGCATGGTTGGGTTAAGTATAATGATTTTTAACAGTGATTAAAATCACTATTATAAGAAACGCTTCGATGCAAATCTGTAAATAGTATTTAATTTTAAGAAATTGGTAGATTATTTCAAAAGCTACATGATCTCTTTTTTCTTATTTATATCCTAACTACAAGTTTAATGATTTATATGTGTAATATATTTATAATAAAATATATAAAGGGAAATGGTCTGATTTAAAAAAAAGTATGTCAAATGAAAAAATCGATACATACATTTTTCAAAAAGTTATAGCATTATAAAGTTAAAAATATAAAAAAGAATTTTTTTATAAAAATCTTATTTTTTATTAACCATGATGTAAGTTTTCACCATGAAAACAAACTAAAGACCAAAATTTTTTTTTCTATAATAAAGTATATTACATAAGCTTTAATTTAATATATATATAGTGTCAGTATTTCAAGAACACTTTCAAAAATTAAGTTGAAAAAGTTCTACTTTCTATATGCATTTTTATGTTTTGAACCCCCCTTGTATTAAGGGAAATGGTCCGATTTAAAAAAGAAGTATGTCGAATGAAAGAGGTATATAAATATTATTTCTTATAAAAAAATTGTATTGATTTATACATTTTTCAAAAATTTATAACATTTTAAAATTAAAAATGTAAAATCGAGAATTTTAACACAAAAATAGCATACGGTAGCCATTTTTATTGTGAAAACAAAATAAAGTCTGTAGATAGTGTTTAATTCTAAGAAATTGGTAGATAATTACAAAAGCTACATCAACTTCTATTAGCCATTTTCACCACGAAGACAAGTCAATTTTTTGTGAAAAAGTTATCATTTTAAATCCCCTTTGTGGGCAGGTAAGGGATAGATTTATAAAAAAAATTACCAAATGATAGGTAAATACCTAAGGTATCTATTAAAAAAAATTTATATTGATTTCCTCCATTTACGGGTTATGAGGTAAAATTTTTTCAAATTTTGAGGGTAATATCTTCGACTAGATTCGATTTGTGATCTTTTGACGTATCGTTGAAAGAAAGCAATTTCGGTGAGAGCTGAGAAAAAATGGTAACAGACAAAAAAAAAAAAAACACATCAAAGTAAANACAAATGGAAACAAAAAAAAAAAAAAAAAACACATCAAAGTAAAATTAATACCTCCTCACCTTCGCATCGAAGCTAAAATAAAATAAATTACAAAAATAATGATACACTGAATTTTAACAAAATTTTTCTAAATTTCTTTGGCAATTCGGCTCAAAAGCTTTTATTTCTTGTTGTTCTAAAATCATAAAAATATTTTGACATTAATTATGGGCCAAACTAACTAACTGATGTTCAGGTCGAATAAAAAATTATTTATCCAATTTTTAATTACATTTTGTCTTTCTACATGATAATTATTTTATAAAACTTTTTAATATTATTTTATTATCACCATCTAACACTTTGTCGCACTTCCTCGCATACAGAAGTATAAACATTTTCATAACTTCTGAAATACTTAATAAAAAGTTGTTACCGACTTTTCATTATCTTATTTATATTATATCACTTTCTAACATTAAATTGTTTAAATTACGTTTGTAGCGTCATAGTTTGTAGAACTCTTTGAATATATAAAGGTGTGTACTAGTATGACGTCTCATATATGTATATATATATATTGTCTTAGGTATTCAACAATGGAAACAACTTTTAGTAGAAGCACTTATGTGAAGAAACTGAATTTTTATAATTCAGTTGGAGGTTCCAAAAATGGAACTACAGGTCTGTGAGCATAGGTAGTTCTTGACCGACCACCTTACCAGCAACACAAGCTAAAACTATTACATTATTATTAATTAGTAAAATATTATCATAATGTCAATAAATAGCAAGATAAAATAAAAAATTGTATTAAAAAAAAATTTTTTTAGAACAAAATTAGAATTGTTTGCAACCTTGTTTTGTACCCCAATATTATTACAAAAAAATATTTTACTTAAACTAGCAACATTATCATATTGTATTTACAAATGCTGTATGTTATTGGTAAAATCAGTTAAGTATGATTATTGTAAAAAATATTTAATACTCACTTATTGGTTTCTGCAAGAGGTACTAATATTTGGTTACTGCCATTTGAGTTAATATATCCTGCTGGGGTTTGAATATTTATAACAAATTTGTTCAAATTACTCATTGTGGCTTCTTGAATGTTCTTTAATATCTTGAGATTTTCAGAATTTTTCGGAATATTTTCTTGTACATATTTAGTTAAATCAGTAAAACTGTTTAAAACCTGAAAAAAATAATTTTAGAAGCTACTTTACACAAAGTACAAAAGTTGGAATAATCAAAATAATACACTTTTAAATCGTACTTCAGATAAGCATTTATTTATTTCAATTTTTTTAGAATTATCCTCATCAATCAAATTTTCAAAATTATACATGATAGTAAAACCTAATTCCTTTATAAAGTTTTCGCATTGTTCAAATGAATAAAACTTTTTTGCAAAACTATTTGGATTACTATCACGCCAAAATTCGGCCACCTTCCTATAAAATAATATTTAATAGTCAATTAATTCTATTAAAATGCACTTTGATAATTTAATACATATAAACTTGATAAAATATATTTGTGTTAAAAATAGAATACACTGGATTATTACATATAACGTTAATGTAATTTATCTAGCTTATTTTTGTTAAAAATATGAGGCATCCTCAGTGTTAATTATATTATTTTTAGTAATTAGTAACAAATGTATTTTTTAAAATAAATACCACTTACTCAATTATTGAAGGATTTGACAGTGATTAAAATCATTATGGTAAAACACTTTAATGCCAATATGCCTAAAAGTATCCCTTTTTTTGTATTATATATTACATTTTTGTGATGTCGGCAAATTTGAGTATGATATCCCCTTACATTAGTTTTAATAAATATAGTTTAAAAAAACTAATAAAACTTTTAAAGCACATCGAACTAAAAAGNAAAAAACACGCTTTTAAAGTACATCGAACTAAAAAGTTAAAAATAATTTTTAAAATAATTATGAACAAAAAATACTAGTATTATTTTGATAAAAGTGTCAGGCGCTCAATATACGAAAAATATAGCACAAAGCACCCACGCTTTTATCACAATAATACTAGTACTTTTCGTTCATTATTGTTTTACGCTTATTTTAAAAATTATTTTTAACTTTTTAGTTCGATGTTCTTTAAAAGCGTGTTTTTTAGTTTTTTTAAACTATATTTATTTTTCACTTTTTAGTTACATGTTATGATAGTAGTTACTATCAATATCATGGTTGTAACGGGTAAAGGGGAATCAGGGTTCGATTCCGGAGAGGGAGTCTGAGAAACGGCTACCACATCCAAGGAAAGCAGCAGGCGCGCAACGTGGAGGTAGTGACGTAAAATGACGATACGGGAATCATCCTTTGTAATCGGAATAAATACCCTATATATCTCTTAATGAGAATAAAGCGTATTAATACATAAATTTGAATAGTAATTAGAATATATACANATGTGGGCGGGCATGGCGGAGGGAACATTATACACGAGGCATATACGGCAGCAGAGGCGTCGGCTGTAGGAATATATAAATGAATATTAACATATACGCATATACGTACAAATATTAATATATAATCTTCGCATAATATCGCGGCACTTTCGCTGGCATCGACGACGCGTTGTCCGGCGTGTTCCTCGGACGTCAACAGGTTAGCAGCGTTGATAGCGACGCCGCGCGAGTGCGGATCGAATCGTAGACGTTGTCACTTTGACAACGGGAAGAAGACTACGGTATCATTTGCGGCGGAATGTCGTCGGGCGTGCGGCGCTTGCTGGACTTTGCACAGCGGCGTATAACGCGAGGTGTTGGTCAGTCAAATACTCATAATAGGGCGACGGCTGATAAAGGTGGCACGAGTCGTTATATATATACATAATTGATGACGCGCGCGCGTCTACGGGTTAGAAAATATTGTTGTCTACGAGTGGGGAGCGGGGTGGGACGAATGCATTACAACAGTATAGTCTCAAGGTCATACACGACGGGATACGCGACATAATAACACGTGCCGCGTGGAGTTACAAACTTACAAACAAACAACAAACGACAAACAAACATACAAGTGAAACTAATATAAGCGTGTTAAAAAGAGATCTTATCCTGTATCAATACAGTGACAGACAATCAATTGATTTTGCCACCAGAAAGAATAAAAGACATATGTAAGAAACGACTTAGTGGGATCTCTGGCACCCATAACTTGTTTTTATTTGTATTAACTATATTGGAAAAGTACTTAGGAATACTGGATTTATAAAAATGGCTTCTCTTTTAATTATGCTCATTCAAACCATCAATTTATTTTTAATAATAATGTGAGTTAAAACTATCCACGTATATATATTTAACCAAGAGACAAAATTAGTTTTTTATTCTTTAAAATTTGTTTTACTAATTATTTACATTATTAATGCTCAATAACTTTAAATTTGAACAACTATCATGAAGTTTCAATAAATATTGAAATTTTCATGAATAAATTCGTACAAGAATTTTAAAATCTTATGTCTATAGTGGTGATACACTCTCTAGTCTCAGATTCTATAAAATAAATGTCGATGTTTATTCAATTAAAAATGAAATTGTTCTACTTTTCAGAACAAAGTGTCTGAATAAATTAAAAAGAAGTGTTAAAATTATAATATAAGTATTTATTCGAACTAATGTCAAAAAATTCGTTTTTTATTAAGTTTCAATACTAGGGGTTGGCGTGGCCCTAATGGGTGGAAACGCATATTTCGTCGCACGGGGCCCCGGGTTCGATCCTCAGGGTGCAAACAAGATTTTTCTTGTGATTTTTTTATTGGTGGTGGTATCTAGTCTTTAGTGGAAGCCGGTCATGATACCCGTTCCGACCATCATTGGCCTAACCATCATTGACTCCCTAACATGTGAAAGAGGGCCCTACTGGATCTACTAAAGCATGTAAAATTGGGTAAATAGAATGATGATAAACTGATCATTATTATTATTATGTTTCAATACTACTATATTGAACATTGTTAAAACACTGTCACATTAAATAAAAATAGAATCTTTTTGGATGTATTTTTTCAATTTCTTTTATAAATAAAAATATATAAATGAAATGAAAAACACATCCAATGAACCATATAGAAACGTTATTATTAGAATACAAGCTATCAAAAATTCTCCGAAACAGTATAATATATGTGTTATATACTCAATAAAGTAATGTTCTTTTTAACCACTCTAAAATGATAAACATAAGTATGGCTTCAAGGAGCCTAGCATGTCTATAAATAGAACAATGAATTAATTTAAAATCCCGTATCTTTGTCTATAAAATTACAGAATATCTCATAAATCGAAATACCAATGTTATTATCAATCACGATGTTTTTCTTTCTTGTGATATATTTAGATAAAAAAATATTGCTATTTTAAATTTTCTTCTGTAAATTACTTTTAATGCTACTTAATTTATAAATAAGAATTCCACACAATAAATTTTGGTTATCGTGTAAAAGAAAACAGCAAAGAAAACATTAAATATTAATTTACATTGTATTATAGGTCTGATTGGAAGTTCAAATAATTTTTTTATTACGAGTAGAATGGGCCCTGTTACGAACCGGAAAATTATAAATTTATCGCTGCTCAGATGAATAGTTTATAGTACTATTGTTTGTAAATTACTTTTTCAATAATATGTTTTAAAGTTACAAACATATTGTTTAATTTTCAATGAAGTCTAATTTTGTTAGTTAATAATTTTCATGATAACTGCAATTCATTTTTTTTTTTAATTTTTGAAGATTTTATTAGATTAAAGATTTACTGGTTTAATAAATAAATAATTTAATAAATGTCCCAGCATACTCAAAATAATGATTTTATTTGCTACAATAGTAATATAATGTAAATATAGAGTAAAAAAAATTTAATAGTCAATTTTTACAAATAAAAATATTTAGATGAAACTTACTTAAGTTAATAAAATTCAGAGAAGGTACTAAAACCTAGGGGTAATGAAGTCTAGTTTGGGATTACTAAAGCATCTTTAGTAGTCACGTCACTGGATTTAAATATGTGATGCAAGCGCTAGGTTTTACGGAGCCGCTTTGTCAGGGGAAGAGTTTAAGAGGGAATACAATTCCGGGAAAAATAATATGGTGAGGATATAATTCTTTTTCATTTAGAGAAATAAACATTTTTTATGTAAACCACATCATACCAATTCCTTACTTTACCATTACTATGTATCTTTGGTGTGGGGCCGTGACAAGTGACCCGCTTTCTCCGCCCTTTTACTAATACTTGTGATACGTATGAAAACATAAAATATCTATAAATCTGCAGATAATATCATCTATAATCAACGGTGTTGTAATTTGAAAGTTATTCCAATCTCATTATAATATAAAGGTGTATGATAATGATAAAAAAAAATAACGGCGGAACACTCCCAAGAAGTAAGAAAAATTGCCATTATTCGTGTTTATATGTAATGTGTATTTCAGAGTACCAAATGGTCTTAATTATGATACCCAGGTCAGACTAGCCTAAATATACAAAAAAAAAGATTGATGCGTCCTGCTTCTTAACTAGTTAACAAATTTTGGTTCATCAGTTAACATATTTTATTTCCAAGCTAGGCTTATCGGATTTTTAAATCTAATTATTTCCTTTTCTAAAAAATATTTTTAGAATACATACTATTTTTTTAAATTTTTGAGTAGTGATAACTTTTTTTATTTGTACCCCTTATTGAATAATTATTACTATAAATAAAATTATAATTACCCCACTGATAATTATTATTAAACTAATTATAAAAATAAATATAAACATCATACAACAAAATTAAATAAAAATCAAAAGGTAATCGAAATTGTCTATATGAAATAAATTGTTTTAAATTAGATTTAATAATTTTAAATAATGTACAAAAAAAAATGAATTAATTAATAGAACAATATTACACAATTAATTTGTTATCAGTGTTCGAATAAAATTGTATAATTTTTTAAATTTGAGCATAAATTATTAATAAAGAATAATTTAGTTTGTTACTGTTTAATTTATAATAGATTAAGAATAAAATATATGAGTTCGCATGCGTAAATGGTAAATAGTTAATCAGAAAAAATTAATAGTTTACCAGCAATCCGTAATAGCTCCTGTATTATTCTTTCGGAAAATAACCGAGTAAAAAGGCATCTTCTCAGGCAAAGTATTAATACACGTGACTCCTACAAATGACTGCTGCTCTTTGAATAACTGTTGTGTATTGGCGGTTACGATGGTTCATTCATAAATCGCTTAAAATATCGTTATCGTTGTTTTCTTTTATTTGACAAATCGTTGTTTCTCAGATGTTTTTTATATCAATATTTATCAATGGTTAAACAGTGGTTTACAAAATGGTAAAGTTTTGAAAAGTGTTCATGTTCATATAGAACAAGTGATTGTTATCAGTAAAATCTTAAGGTTTTGATAATACAAATAATTTACCTATCTTTAACATAATTTAACGTTATTCGATGAATTACAATATATTAAGCAAAAATGTAGTATGCTTAACAATTTTTGAAGGACTTACGAATGTTAGTGGTATGGTTTGGTAACCTAAGTAGAGTCACTGTATAGAATAATTGTATAAATAAGCATTAGTGCTTAAATGGACCTTCTATTTGATATTTAATAAGTCTTTTTGTTTCCCTAATTTTATGTTTTTTAGATTTATCTTTTTTTTTTGTAATTATTGGCTGATGCCACCTAGACATCCATTTGGTCAGGAAGTCATTGATTAATAAAAAATTATTTATCGGTATCTACCTTAATCAAATTTAAATCATTGACGTGAGCGATAAAACTAATTATCATAATGTTTTGTAAACTCAGTTTATTTTGCTCTTAACGTTTCTCCAACTTTGTGAGAATTCTATTTTAAAACGCGCCACTTGTCATAACAATTATTTGTTATTAAGTTGGGTTGGGTTTATCAAGTTTTTCTTCTGTACACACTCTTAAAGGTATAACAATATTTTTTTCTACATGAGGTCTAATTTTTTTTTGTTTTATTTTTATACTTTGCAAAACCTTTTTTCAGTCCATATAAGTTCACAGATACGTCAGGGTTCTGTTTTTCAAATTTTGCAATTTCTTCGAGTGACATGGGCATGGTAAGTCCTGAAAAATTATATTTATGTCCATGCTCTTCAAAATGTTTCTGCTGAACAGTTATACGAAATGCGTTTACTGGGTTTATAGATTTAGACATTATACTGTAAATAAAACAATTGTTATCTTCATTTTTTACATTGATAGTTGCATGCTTACTTTCAATTTCTTTAGGAAGTGGTAAATAACTACCTCCACCAAAAGGCATGTATATGTCAGTGTACAATAAAATACCAGCAATCCGTTCTAACGTAAAACTAATACCTTTACCTAAATATTTTTCTTGCTCTAGTAATAGTTTATTGAAATCCTCATTCAGAAACTCGTTAATAGAANGCTCTAGTAATAGTTTATTGAAATCCTCATTCAGAAACTCGTCAATAGGACTTGATATGTACAAACTTCGTGATGTAGTTTTAAAAGATCTATTTTCTACAGATTCAGCTTTATTCGGAATAACATATGTAGACTCTAGTTTTAAACTGTACTTAATAGGGCTATCGGTTAAGAGACGTTTAAGCAAAGCAATTAACTCAGGCCGTGCTTCCTTCAAAAACACTCCATAATTAAGAATACGTTTTAAATTCTTTTTGTAAAATGTCTTGTGTAACCCTCCAAACTCCTGTTGTATTAAACTAAAACCACTAGTATTTATGTTATTTACTCTAAATTTCTTTGTATTTTTTCCCCTAGATTCTGCTTGTAAACAAAGGCTATCTGCTTCATTATCACCCCAATAATCGTCAAACGGGTGTTTTCTTTTTACACCTAATAAATAATTGGAATTTCTTAGATAATATATTTTGTATAACATTAATTACGTGTAAATAATAATATTTGAAATTTTTTTTTTTTGAAAAAATTGTGCATAATGTTTGAGCAACTAGTAGTATTTACTACACTCAATAATAATACTTAAATAATAATAAAACAATATATTAAAAAAAAAAAAAATTAGCTTTTAAGTTATAAACGTTTTTATGAAATTTCTTAAAATTATGAAAAATCGGTTATGAAGTTTAGACGAATTGTAATATTTACTGTGCTTAATAATAATAATAAAGGAATTTTTCTTAGCTTTATTTACGTTAGTCGAAGTCGATGGTTTACAATCAGGTATAGTAACACTTTGAAACGGTTTATTAATATTAAGGTTTACGTCATTTCTTTTAGTTACATTTAATTGTACTGGCCGGGTTTCATCTATAAAGTGTAATTATATTAACACAAAATATTGCTTAATTAAATTTGATGTTTAATAATATCTTGAAAAATGACTTACCATGTAACAGTTTCTGGTGTCTGATTAAAACGCTCTTTCTTGTAAATTTGTTTGCACATGCATTACAACTAAACCGCACATCACTATGAATTTTTTTATGTTGATTAGGTTACTTACAGTTGAAAATATTTTACCACAAGTATTACATTGATTCATTTTTAAAGATTAAAAATACACAAAATAGCGAATACAAATTTCAGTAAAATGTAGATTATTTAAAATGTATAAACTGATTCAAGTACAGTTAATAACAAATGTTAACTAAACGAGTTACGAAACAGGAATAACACTTGTACAAAATGTTAAATGTCTTATCGAGTAATTCTTACCTATAAATTTTTGACCCTTTCCCTGTCCTTTTAGACTCCTTACTTAACGAACTAAGTATAGTATTTTGCAAAAGTTTAACATATAGTATCGTTAACTAATGTACATGCGTTAATGCATTGATTTATTAGTACAAGTTTCTTTATAGCATACCCAAAAGTAAATGAATTTGAATAATATTAAGACTAGTCATAATGTTATAACATTCTTGCACTATAAAATGTATTCGTAGTTACCTTTAAACTAGAGAATTCATATAGTAGAACTATATGGTAATTATAATAATAATCAATTAATCTACACATTAAAAAAAATGTCTATTAACGAACGCAGTAATGTAACTTAATAATCAAAATGAATTTAATAAAATATTATTTCTAACGTATAAATATTTTCTCTTTAATTACAAAATAACTGAATTCTTATGAAATAGTAAAATATTGCACATATTTATTTATTTACTTTAATATTATAATAATGATCATCTAATGATGAGTTTTATCATCGCCTCCCCTTCTATGTAGGGGTAAATAGTTGGTCTACTGTTTTAATACATACTTTAGTCAAGGAAGGGAAACCCTGTATGACCAATGACATACACGTCATAGTTGGGTTAATATGCCGCCGCTCGAATACACCTTTAACATTGCACATTGTGTTAAAACGTATATACTATATCTACTAATTGGTTGGGTTGGATTGGTGGCAAACACATATCTCATTACATTTTTGTACCGTCGATTAGGCTTATAACATTGACACAGTGACGCATATAACTACAGAATGTGAACACTACCCACAAAAACACTTTTGGAATTCGCAACCACCGTGTCATAGTACGAGAGTCTTAAACACCAATTGACTTTTTACTAACATTGCAACTATTACTAAGTCTAAAAATTAGAATTTTACATAGAGCATGGGGTTTATTAATCTTTACTACTCATATTTTAGAACTTTCACCAGAACAGGTTATTTCATCTCTGGGAAAAAATCGTTATTCCCACTAAAGCTTTTGAAATGTGTAGGAATATTAAGTTTCCAACAGAGAAAATTTAAATTTTTGAACACTATCTTTTCTAAATAAACGCAAAAGTACACATCAGTTACTGTCGAAACAATTTCAACAAATTTTACTTAAAGAATAAATCGAAATCTTACAAAAAGATAAAAAAGATTATTATTTTTATTATTGCACAAAAAACATTTTTTTAACGAAAAACAACCAGGTCAATGCCATACTAAAGATTTAATAAATAATATGCGTAGAGTATTTAAACAATCATCTATAAGATAAATACGAACTTACGATATTTCTATAATTTGTTATCTATTATTAAAACACGTTAAGAGTAAAATTGAACTACAAAAAACAAAATTATTTCAAAATAAAAACTGTAATCATAATAATCAGAAATCAGAATTAGTTTTCAAAAATAGTTTCAATGAGAAAGTCAATCATAATGTAGCGCTCTTTTAATTTAGTATGATTTTTTTGTAATTAAGTTATAAAGTAAATTTTATTTTTAAAACCCCACCCCAACTTAAAGAACATTATAATAATTACGTTTTATCTTATTGTAATGTATTTCAATTGAAAAACATTAACACAATTTATTTTTGTCATAGAATTGATTTTTAAAATAGTTATAATATCTATGGCAATATTGTAGCTATTAATAATTTAAAAATTATAACAATTAATTGAAAATTAGTTATTGTCAATGTCATATTACAATATAACTCAAAAGCCACAAAAAATGAATAAAAAAAATGCGGATGCGTTTTTCGGAAATCATGTTATTATTACAGAAAATGTTGAAAAAACAATATAACTTAATTTAGATTAGACTAAGACTATCGTCTTAGGCTAAATTTAATTAAAAATTTACCTGGATCAGATTGATGTAAAATACCATCTTCATTGCACTTCGTTTTCTCTGAAATGCAGCACGTCAAATATCTTGCCAACCGACCAAAAAGCTATTCCTCTTCATCCTTTCAGTATTTTAAACAACAAAGTCAATGTAACAAAATAATTGTTTTCAAGTTAATAGTAGTTCACAGCAACAGAATATAAGGACAAAATAGTCTTTCTTCAAGAATTTAATAACAAACTAATATATGTTTTATTATAAACATCAGTGTTTCTATGCGAGTATCACAGGGCAACTATATTTAACTATTTTTTTGATTTTAAGATATTTAAATAATTGCATTAATTTAAGACATTTTCAAACATAAAACACCAAAAAACTGTATTCATAATATACAATTTATTTATCATTACAAATTTACATAAAATATGATTTCTTTTATTTTTATAACTATTTAAATAATTTAAATTATCAATCGAATAGCTAGTTATTAGCTACTAACTCACAAAAAATACGTGTGAAGTTGTAAAATATTACTTGTTTTGAGTAACCATGAGTAGGGGAGAGCGGGGTTAGTTGTTACAATTTGTACATTTTTAATTTTTAGAATTTCACATTAATTATTATCTGGATGAATATTCATCTGCTTTATGCAGTTAATTCTTAAGTATCATACAAATATATATAAATAAATAAATAAACATTTTTAATCAAAGAAAATAATGTTTTGATTCATCAAATCAAAAAGTAACAACTTGCCCCGAACCGAGGTAAATTGTTACACACTGGGGGCAAGTTGTTATAATATTCATTTTTATTTTATTTGATAAATATTATTCGAAAAAATAACAAAAAGTAATAGTACAAAGTCTTATGGTAAAATCAGTCTTTCGTATAACAATTTTAAAACTATGTAACGAAAAATTAAATATCCTTTTATACAATTTTTTATAACAAAAAAAAACAAACTTTAAAACCTTATTAGAAAAAAGTTAACAGCAGTCTTATGCGTTACTATTTTAACAACCTTATTTAACTTATTTCATGCGATATCTTCAAAATCTTCATCAATATTTGAAGTGCAGTTTTTGCAATTGTAGAACAATAAATCACCTACTCCAGCATTTATCATGAGCCCACTTTTTACAAGAACAACATTCAACCCATCCTTCTCCTTTGTGACTTTTTGAATAAGCTCCAAGACATATTATACAAAAGTAATCATCCTCTTCTTCAGAACTTATTGCGTTAGACTTTTGTTTTTTGGTTTACAATTAGATTTTTTATTAGTTTTAGTTTTTTTTAAATCTAATTTCTATTTAGACTTCAATTTTTTTTTTCTTCTTTGTACATCACGGGCCTCTTGTTCTTGTCTTAACTTCTCTTTCTCGGGTGTATCAGTTAAAATTGTTGATATCATCTTCTTTCTTGTACGATTATTTTTCCTTTCACCTGCTTTTGGTAGAGGTCTTATGTCTTCAGGAGTTACTGTAATATGTGTACTAGTGGATTGTTGTAAACATTGTAGTGTATTATTTATTGAATCAGCAGTCAATGGTCTATCAGTAACAGCAGNATTAATTTGCTTACCCTGCATTTCCCTTTTATATGGAATTATTTTATTGCTTAGGAGTTTAAAAATTGCTTACTACTATGTAAAACTTATATTATACTAAAATCGATGTAATTCAATACTTCCTCATATATTTACTACACTGCTAATGGGAGAGCTTTTTTTACTAATGACGGTATATCATAGATAGATAATGAGACACCAGGGTGAGAGTCCATCCATCCACTAGCTGTATTATGACAAAATGTTTTGAAGGAACCATAGACTGATACATCCAATGGCTATAAGTGGTTAGTAGTATGTGGCGGAAACGATAACAATACTATACCATTTTCCTTACAAAAATCAAGAACTTTTACAGATAAATGGAAAATATGATTATCCAAAATCAGTAAAACCGGAGATGATGGACTACAACAAATATGTTTCTGAAAATGTTCAACAAACTGTAAAAAGGAAGATGCAGTTACCCATCCACTTGGGTGGTTAGCTCCAATGCAACCAGTAGGTCCATTGCTTATAAAATGCTGTTTAAAATTAACTCTTGGAAATATAAGCATAGGTGGCAAAGAGTTTCCTATGGCATTGACAGCAAAGACTATAGTTACAGTTGTCCCTCTTTCTCCAGAAGTAGCCTTACCAACTTGCTTTTTCCCTTTTTCTGCTATAATTTTCGTTGGTTTTTGCACGGTTGTAACACCAGTTTCGTCAACATTCCATACTCTATGCCCTTCGAATTGATACTTCACATACAGACTATGTAGATTATCAAAAAAAATACCGAAATTCTGTTTATTAAAGCTAGTGATTCTTCCAAGACTAGTTGGTTCAAGTAAACGTAAAGATAACATGGGATGCCTTTTTAAGAAACTAGTAAACCAGTCTCTAGAGGCTTGTTTACGAGCATCCCAGTTTTTGGGATAAGCAACATCATTTGCTTTCGCATATTCATATGCCAACAACTTAACGTCCAATGGAGTAAGACCATAATAGATTCTGCTACAATGAATCAAGTAAGTAGATAAAGCAGCTTCTAAAGTTTCTGAAAATACTTGCCTAGGTTTCACATATCCAATCATTTTACAATTGGTTTTCAAAGGTAGATTGGATTGCTTTTTAATGTATCTTTGAAGTGTCATAAAATTTATTTGGTACTTTTCTGCAGCATTTCTCAGCGAATTTTCCTTAGATAACACTTCAGCTGCAGCATTTTTATATGTATCTTCAGATGTTGTACCTCGATTAGTTTTTTTTTTTGTAATTTCTGACCATCTAAATGAAATAAATTTTATATATTTAATTACTTGTAAATAAAAATTAAATTTTTTTCTAGTTGGGGCAAGTTGATACACTGTATCAACATGCCCCTAATCAATTGTAACAACTAGCCTCATACAAAAATTTTTTGTTTACAGCGTAATCACACAAAAGTAA